CAACTTAATTCCTTATGATATTTTTGGAAGCCGACGGCACTGTTACAGCCACCTCTGGGGAATTTCATCTATCCACATTTATGGTGCATTTGTCTGTAAAGGCCTTTTAAACAAAAGCAGTCCACATACTCATTTGATGCACATATATACATGCTCTCACCTTGAAAAATCCCAAACCTGTTAGTTATGTCCACATATTAGCATTAATTGATTCCTTCTGAGAAGAGCCATAGGCTTTTCGGATAAGTTTTAGCGGCCTCACATGACAACAGCTCAATGGGTGTGAGGGACACCACGTGCCATAATGCCCATCAGTGTGACAGAAGTCTGTCTGAATCTGAATTGTATCTGTGCCTAAAGCACCAAAATACAGCCACGTGTAATTTGTTTCATTCCTCCTTTCCTCCACCATGAGATCTGCAGTATCATTCACTTGACAGCTTATGTTCATGTGATCTCCATCACAGATTTCATCAAGAACTCTGAAACCACCCAACTCGCTTCATGTCAAATTTTCTCTCCACTTATATCTGACAAGAACACCACATGATTTCTGCAAGATCTTTTAAGCTGCACTACAGAGAAACACTGCTTTTTTAGGTGATGGCAGCGTACCAATGTTAATTTGACTAACCTAGTTCAGCATGCAGTATGCAATTATTTCCTGCTCTCATGATGATTTTTTCAACCTATTTTTAACTTAATGTACACTTTGGTAAGGATTCTACCTTAGAAAAGATAGCTAGTCCACATGCCTTCTATTACGTTGCAGTTGCTTTTACATTTGTCACTGAAAGAACAATCTCACCATGTGTGACAACGGGATTTGAATCACAACTGCTAAATATACCACGTATAGAAATTTGATTGCTTTATGATTTTGGTTTTTTTTTTTTTCCCAACTGAAGGGAGAAATGTGAGGGCAAAACCTTACAGTTTATTTCATGCTTCACTACAGTGTAATTCTAGACCCTAAGATTTCTACCATTCCTATTTTGGTAATGAATGGAATGTAAAAGGGAGGTATTTAAAATTAATTGCAGCAGTTCTGAGGGTTAAACCTGCTTAACCCGACCTTTTATAATGAGAATATCAACAGAGCATATATCTTGTCTAGGGAGTGCTGGGACATCATTATTCTTCCAACAGCATGTTTAGTTCTAAAACCTGGGATTTCTTCAGGTTCCTGTAGCCGTCATGCACACCATACACCCGTCCCAAATCACAGCGTCTGTTCTGAACTACTCACTACAGCAGGATTAGACCTGAGAAACTCTAGAGTTTTGTTTTACTTTATTAACTTGGAGTACTTTCAAACAGTTTTTAAACAAAATTTTCCCTTGACCAGCAAGGGAATTTTCAGCCTGAAGTTCTCAGCAGCATCCGGTGAGGCTCCTAGCCAAGTTCTTCAGATACTGTACATCCTCAAGGACAGCCTGCTGGCTCTTGTTGGGGCATTTTCTTAATCCTTAGAGCAGACTTCCTGGATCTAGGAAATTTAATTCCTGACTCCTTCGACCCAGATGCTGGCGAAAACGTAGTCTGCAGGCTGTGTGTAACTGGGTGTGTTCATTTTTTAATTTTCCCTAGGAACTGGCCTTGCTGTTAAATTTTTCTAAAACAGTCGTATTAATATGTTCAAAAACCCACTGTTGAGTTTCAGATAAAGGATCACATCTGTTCATGAAAATCTTCTTTTCAGATGGGTTGCAATCTATGCAGCTGCTGCTTACCGGATGGAACAAAGTTTTGTCCTACAGAAATGAGAAAAAAACAGAATTAAGTAGCAAACGCCAAGTAATTGGAAGCGTTCTCATTTTACTGAACATGGATTAACACAGTCGTATCTGAAATAATTTTGTATGCTCAGTGTGATAACCTTGTGCAACAACCACAGCTTAATTTAGAAACTTGTAGAGAATCTAGCACTTTCGTTCCTTCTGTTATTGTCCTTCAAAAAATCGAGGATTCAGGAAAGAATGAGACGACATCACCTTCTCTTTAGCTAATAACCATGTAATATAATGAAAAAAGAGAATGCCTTTCTGTACATACTGTGTGCTTCCCTAGCCTCCAATTAAATGTCTGAACCCAATTTTTCTGGGGGGAGGGGAGGTTGTTTTTCACAGTTTCTACTGTGCTGCTGGGTGAGAGGATCTGTAAAGATCTGTCTGAGAAATGGCTATTCTTTGACTCGATGAAGAAGTAAGTAACAATATTAATTGAAGTGCTGTGCTGGACAGACACGTAACTGATGATCTCAGTTCTCACCCCATAAAACGCAGATTTTGCCTGCAGCCTTGTAAGACAAGCCACTGAAATACTCGAGTTCTACTCCTAAGAAGGAAATTCTAATGCTGTTTTTAGATCCCTATGGAGATCTTGGGAGGATAAACACAGATTAAGTTGTTTTAAATAGGATATTCATGGTTTTTAGTTTTATTCATTTTATTTCACACACACACCAAAAAAAAAAAAGGAATGAATTTTACATCATCCCACTGTGACTCTTTGGTAAAGTAGAAAGTACCAAGATGAGCAACAGGCATTTGTGGGTAGGCTAGTTTCAGTGTGTAGGCAAGTGGCCAAGAGATAGACATGGGAGTGATTAGATGGCTTGAAAGTTTCCAGTGGCTATACAATGCATTTACTGTATCTGTGGAAATAAACTTCTGATGACTCTCAGTAAACAACATCCAGGCTCTTCCCCTCCTTGCCAAACAAGCTCTGCCAGCTAATTCAGGATGTGCCTGTTTGCCCAGTTTGTAAGAAGGAATAAAAAAAGCTACTTCTCAAATCACAACCTATTATAAACTCGCCAAAGTGCTCTGGGTGCTCAGCAACAATCATACAGAAACATCTTTAACAAAAATACCCCACCCTTCAGAAATAAAGTTATGAAGACAAAACTAAATATAACGTAATAATATAAGTTATTTTAAAGCGAGGAAAGTTGTGGTTTTTTTTTTTTTTTTTTTTTTTAATTAAGAAAGAGAAAATTGATTGTGGGATGTGTGAAACACTGGTAAAGCACTACTTTTATTTTTTCTTTTTTAATATTTAGTATATGCCACAGAGAGCAAATTCAAAAGTGTAGCGCTCTGCTGTACTGGAGGGTGATGGTGTTCTACCTGCCTTTCAAAAAAACTGGCTTTCACCCCAACTCTTCACCTTAAATGCATGCACCCACAAGAGAGTAATTCTGAGTGATGTGTTCAAAGCCTGCTAAAGGAATCAGCTTTGTATGGATAGGGAGACCAGAAGCCCTGCTCTGCTCGGTACAGGGAGCAGCTTGCGAACACAGGCAACATGCATGTGGGGCTGTCACATTCTATATAGCAGGAGACCCTACCAGAGCTCCCAAGAACCCATGGGATGTACCATGGCTGCCCACCTGCTGTGGGGCCCTGTGGAAAGGGGACAGCTGGTTTTTCTCATGTTGTAGCTTGGGAAGGGCTCAGCCAAGCTACTGCAGAGCTAAAGCTGGAATGCTAGAAGCTTTAACACAGTAGCTGGTACAAGAAGAGAGGAAGCTGCTTGCTCTCAGTACAAAATGCATGCTATGAGAAACACACCAGCCTTCACAAAAGAGCCCACGGTCTGTCTTCTCACAGAAAAATCCAGGGGATGCAATACTTGAATGAAGCATTGTTGGTGCTTCTCTCAGCCGGTCTGGTTATTAGGAGAGAAGAGCATTTCTTAAGGAGAGGGACACAGTTACTGTGGGAAAACTTCTGGCTGCCTTAGCTATGTATAATGGCCTATTAATTTATCATCTCCAGCTTACACTGACCTAAGGTCAAAGCCTGCAGTTCTTATGGAACTCAATAAAAACAGGCTGAGGACTTCAATGGGTGACAGTTGCATGCACCCCAGAGAAGAACTTTCTGAGGGAAATATATAAATTCCTCCTTACACCAAGCCACAAGGACCCTTCTGGAGACTTTTCAAGCATCTGAAAAGAGCAGAGTGATTTTTTTTTCTTCTGCATAAAGGCAATTCTGAATACTATTTACAGAAGGAGAAACTTCTCCATAAGATAATGGTTCTCGACAGTTCAGGGGATTGGTAATGAGACACAGAGCCTTTCATTTCTTCTAGGTCACTGCTATAACTATGGCCAAGGTCAACAGCAACTGGAAGTCATTATCAACCAGTGGCTGCAGTAGTTTATCTGAAATTAGTCGGTAGCCACAGTTTCAGTAGGACAGATGTCCATATGATAAAAATCACTATCACAATGACATGTCTTTCATTGTCTGAGGGGATAATCTATGGACTCAGAAGGTAAAGAGTGAATTTTTACAGTTTGTCCCTGAAGTTGTCAGGAGAGTGTGAACAAATGACCCTATTCAGGGCACAGGTTTCGACGTTGCCAGTCTAGCTTCTATCACAGTCACTATGCTTAGGGTAGAATTATAGCATAATGAAATTGATTTTGCACAATTATAACCATTATTTTTTAAAGACCTACTAAATCAGCCCTCTCTTGAATACATGTGCTCAACAGATGAGACTAGGGCACATAAATTTAATCGTACTTTATCAGAACCAATGTATTACCTACCACTCCAGAGTGACACTATGCTGAAAAACAAGGGCATATTGCTTCACTGGGAGGAATGGAAATCTGTATCCACTGTTGATCTTTGGCTCTGACATGCTTAGAAATCATAAACACAGTCAAGGAAATGGCTTTCTCTTGGAAAGCTGTCATTCTCCAATATCTCTACTACTTTTAGCATTCTCCCATTGCTCTCAGAATTGATTTCAAAGCCCCATTATGGCATCAACGCTTTTTTCCCCTATTATTAAACTCATTTCCTTTTTCTAACCCACAGTGCTGTTCACAATATTATTTGGATTCAGTCTACTTTATCCCTTTTTACAGAGGTTTCTTAAATGCAGACTTGGCGGTTTTATTACAGATGCCAAGTTTGAACTGGTCCTAAAAGTACTGATTACTCACTATCATAGACGTACTAGAATTTTAAACACTTACTCTTGAAAAGAGAAAGTAGCATAACCTATTAAAAAAACCTATTATCTTCTAGTTTTATATGACATTATATGAGAGTGTGATATGACAGTATAGTAAGAAATGCTTTCTATTCAGCATCTTATAAGACACTGACCAAACTCATTTTTCCTACAACGCTGATAAGATGGACACATGACCATTAGAAAGCTACAGCTTCTGTAAATGGTGCAAAGAACACAGCTGCTGATCTGGTCTTTGTTTCCTAAAAGCAAGCATTTCTTTCTGAACCACAAACTATGACTGGTTTACTCAGAGTGCAATTTTAGTTGCATACCGTCCTCTTAGTAAAGAGCTCTGCTATAGCTGCAATTAAACTGATAGAAGCATCTTTTTGCTGTATGGTTTTCTTGTCTTTGGGAAACAGTATAAATCCTATTTCCAGGATGCTCTTAAAACTAAGTAAGGATTATAACAGGCTTTTTTTTTGGTACAGTTGTTCCACCACAAATTTTTACAGCAAATCTAACTCCATGAAACAAAACGTACTTAGTGGGCAGCCAAATTAAAACTAAGCCTAAGCAGTAATAATAATAATGAGCATATTTTCACTGTTCCAACACTTGTTTTTTTCAATTTGAAGTTTCATAGTTCAGCAGTAAGTGCTCATGCAAACTGATCAGCTTGCTGTCAGGTTACTATTACAGCTAGAACTGTGACAGTACTTTCATCATCACAAAATGTTGTGGTGCCTTTTGTTGAGATGAAAATGCCTGCCTTGTGTTGAGAATTTTTATATGAGCCCTGTCAACCTTCTGGAAATAAAAAATGAAGCTGTGCAGAGGATTTAATAGAACTCACGTTGTGCATTTTTTTTTTCCTTCAAATGTCATTTCTTTGGGTTATCTGCTGCATTCTGTCCACATCAAAGGTGATGAGCCATATAGAGGGCAGCTCCAGATCTGCGTTTTCCTTATGAACCAGCTACATTAGGCACCAATGAAGTGCTAGGGGTATGAAAGCTTCTTTCGTGTGGCTTGGGCGATCAGAAAGATAAATTGGAAGTGTTCTGAAGCAAGAAGGGATTATAATGACATTATAAAGCCATATATGCAGCAATACAGCCACGACTATTTATGTCCTCTAAAGAGCCAGCTCACACTTTTTAACCTCACTACGAGTAGAATCTGAAGAACATATTTCGAGAAAATTCTGCGATACATCTTGGATTGCAACATAAATATGGTTAAAAAATGGCACAAGCTAACAAGCAGGTACTCAAAATACTTGGGGAAAAGCTACTTTTAATAGTTCTGAACTATTTTCCTGCTTATAACTCTAATCTAGAAAGTACTATAGAGGCTTACTTAACATGGTCCAATTCCTGCCACCTAGGTCACAGCATAAGCAATGTAGGGGAAAAGGCACAGTGGTTTTAGAAAATCAAAGGATGCATAAGAAGAAGTACTCAATTCATCACAGAAATGGATGTCCTTACCCTGCATGGAATAATTTATAAGCAATTGTTTAATCAAGGAAACTTGCTGATTAATCATTCTTTAAAAAACCTGGTAGCATTACCAGGACTTTTTATACCCCAAATGAGGCACTTTCATTTCCTAGCTTGACCTCCTGTTCTAGTGATTGCTCAAAATGGGCAGAATTTGGCAGATCAAAGTAGTGTCTGAGCTGCTTATCTTTAATTTATAAACTCCCAATGTCTTCAGGCTTACAGCAAGTGCTTTTAATGTTGGTTTGGGGTTTTTTTGAGGTAGACATACCTGCCACTTGTAAAAATGTAGTAAAATAGTAATATTTAACTCTTGAGCAGCATTTCTTCTTTCTGTCATGTCAGATGCAAATATTTTCAATAGTGCCTCACTTAAAATGACACCAGAATCTTCAAATGCCAGAATGATATAACACCTTTCAGACACCCAACATGGACACACTCTGAGCTGGATCGGATCCACTTCCATTTAAATTTGACACAAGTAGCTGAATACTCAATGAGAACGCACTCCAGAGAGTTTACTACAAAATTAAATTGGAATAAAACAGACTGGATTTTAAAAAGCAACTTCTCTGAAGTTTCTCTGAAAATACAAGTCTGCACTAGACTGAGTATAGGCTTAAGACAGTCTGAATCTCTGAAATGACCCAGAGTGACTCCGACCTTCCTATAGCTCCAGTGCTGGTTCCCCTTCATCCCATGACAGTCATACAGTGTGACAGGGCTACTGTGTGAGATGGCATCAAAGCAGAACTTCCTGGTGTGAAGTGGCTCCCCAGGACGGATGTCTTCTCTCCATCCGAAGGTGAACAGCTAGAAAAACAGTCAGACAACGCAATAGTTTATTACTAGTGGAAAACATTTCAAAACCAACACACACTAAATGATTTGTCTTCTTGCTGAGAAACCTGTGAGCTACAGGCAGCTTGTTAAAGCCGTTTTTCTGGCTGCCTGAGAGGAATTGTGGAGGCTCACAGTTAACAGAGGAATCCTTCTCAATCATGCACCAGCTGTCTGAAATTATGCTGTGACACTGCAGTTGTTCAATCGTAAGAGAAAGGCGACAGGTCTGACAATACCAAATTTAAAGATACAGAATGCATTTTCCTTTCTATGGGCCAATCCTTGTAGAAAACAGGTTGCAGCTTGTACATTGCTGCCTACAAGCTCTGCTGAGAGCTGTGATGCTTTTTTTTTTTTCCTTTATATTTAATTCCTTTTTTTTTTTTTTTTTTTTTTTCCCCCCCCATGTCAATGCTATCCCATGGCTTTCTGCTTGACTCTCGTTTTTCCACAGTATAGACTGAAGCATAACACTGAGAAAGCTCTCTTTAAATGACCAAACTTTGCTACTGGAAATCATTTAGCTGTAACATTTCATGCAGAACTGCACGCAGGCTCATTATCTGAATAGCACTTCTACTCTATGCTGTTGTTAGCCTGCCTCCAGCACCTCAGCCACTGCACCCCAGGCAGCTCTGTTTCTCATCTGGCATCCTGCTCCAATGTGTCCATTTGCTGATATCAGAACCACTGTCTACAAATGCAAACTAAAGCTGAGTGTGATGGGAGTCTGATTTGGTATACTCCTGCTGTGCTTCTTAGATTCTGAACCTTTCACTGTGACAGCTATCTTCTCCCTGTGGTCTACCTAAAAGAGGCATCTTTCAAAAATGCTACATCTTCAGCACTGTACCACACTCCATAATACTATTGAGAGGCACTATTGCTTCCCATGGCCTGCAGGCACAGAATATAAGTATATATCTGAATATTTGCTGTTTTTCTCATGTCTCATTGTAAGCCCTTGTTCTGTCTGTGAGCATCTGTCATTCCCTATTTATTTCTGGTTTTCCAGTCAGCATTTTCTCAGTCTTCCCCCATGCCCTGCTTATTTCTTCTTTCCCCCAGAGTGCCTTTTACATTTATCTGCTGTAAAATGCAATGGACAACTTTAACTACATTTTCAAACCAAATAGTTGCTTTTTAAAAGGTTAAGTCTTTCTCCATTTATCTTTATGTTTCCTGGAAGCAGCACCACACACTCCCTGCAAAACAGCTTATTTCACAACCAAACTCAGAGGTAAGATTTGATATATGAAAAAGCTACAATGTTGCTTCTGCAAAAATAGAGAAGTTTGAGATGGTTTGCCTCTGAAGGAAAAAAAAGCAAAAGCCATTTCCTTTCTTTTGCTTTACTTTTCTGCAGCCAAGTAATAAACTTGGAGCTCAAAGTGATGAATAACATACCTGGAGAAATGGTGTAGAACAGTGATTTTGCAGTATTCTCACTCTCATGACTACTTTGCAAGATATCCTTTTGCAACACCTTTATCATCTTCCTCAGCAACTAACTCTCCAAATTTTTCATTCTGTGCACTACTGGTGAGCTGAGGGGCCATTCCTGTTGCTGCCTGGACCTTGTCCTGAGGACCACTGCCACACTGAATGCATCAGTATACCTGAAAGAGCTAAAGCTTGCTTTTAAATCAGATCAGACTGATCCAGGGTATCCTTTTGCCTTTCCCACTCCTGTGTGGTTTCCATTTGGAACCACTGTGTTCCATTTGAAAGTCAAGATTGACTTGATACCAGATAGGGTGCTTTTTTGCTTTTTTTTTTTTTTAAAGTTTCCTTCCACTGAAAATCACGATCTGTGTAATAGTAGATCTCACTGATTAGATGGCACAGATTCCTCCCCCTCCTTCTTAGGCTGCTGTTTCGTAAAACAGTTGCATTTAAAAATCAAGTATGTTCTTCCTAGTGATACAGTTACAAAATAAGTCTTGTAGGGGCAGAAACCAGTTTTTAGGACTAAGAGTGGAATTAAAAATAACTAATTGGAAAAAAAGATCATACTTTTCTATACATCCAACTGATACTAAGATGTACAGACAATATTAAAACTTGCAGGTAAGATTTGAAGGTCGACATCCTTCCAACCTCCCCACTCTATGATATCCTCCATAACATGGCAAATTCTGTCTACTTCAACACTAAACCTGGCCGATGTAAAAATGATCTTTCCTCTGTATAATGCATAGCAATGCTACATGTTAGTAGCCGTGGTCCTGACCCCAAAAGGCTCTGCTTCGCCACTATTTAATGCTTTGGATATTCCTTTGGATGTTAGGAACCAGCAGAGCCTGACTTCATGAGAAATGGATGAACTCAAATGAAGTAGTACACTTCATTTGCTCTCATTCATTCCCAGATATGAAACAAAGCTGCACAGAGATTTCCAAATACATTAGAATCAGGCAGCTGGCTTTCTCTTCACTTGAGGTCTCCAGGGCTGTTGTTTCGTACTGAGTCCAAGACATTTTCTGTCCTTCTGGCTTCTTCCTTCCTTTCTCTTATTCTCCTACCAGACCCCCATCCTCTGAGTTTGCAACCAAGTTACCCTTTGGCCTGCATGCTTCAGCTTTTGATGAGGCTTGGCCCTCTCATAGGACTACTTGGAAAAAGACAGCTTTTCAGCTGCCTTATCTGTTAAGAACAACTTAATTTCTAACTGGCACTAGGCCTGAAAAATGATTGCCAGATGCAGCCACTGGTTTGGGACTGTTTGCAGGACAAAGGCCCTTTTGAGACCATCAGTGCTCTCCAGCTTGACAACTTTATTCATTTACTCACTGCCTGTCTGGATCCCACTGTCAGTGGGCACTGTGCTCAGGCCACAGCACAAGATTGAAGTAGACATGTGTCCAACACAAAGCCAGCGTCATATCTGTGAACTAGACTTTGACTTGAGTTACATCTCTGAGCAGAAAAGAAAGAGCTGGGAGGGATGCACAGTTACAGTCTGGGCTGAGCTGGAGATGATGTCTGCCCACTTAATCCCTGGCCAGACTGGAGGACTTCAGAAGACAAAGAAGATTTTTACCATCACATCCTTGGCTGCTGTTTGATCTGCTTCATTTGCACCTGTTTCTGAGAAACAGAAATTAGCTCTGGCAAGAGAGGTGGAAGAAAGCCAAGATGCACCTCACTCGTGCCTTTTTTTTTTGTTCTGAAGAAGTTCCCAGAGAGTTGTTCTTTTTTTCCCACCAGAAAATCTGCAAGTGGCCCATTGTCCTACTGTTAGTTTTTACAGCCCTGAGGTAGAAAGTCTTCTCAGGGGCTGCTAAGAGGCTGGCAAGATTACACAAATCAAGTAGCACAGTGGGTCATCTCTGTCTAGTGGTATCATCAACACTAGCAGCTACTGCTTTCCTCATATCACATTTTTCTAAAGAATTTTGTGTTAATTTAGACCAGAATTTACAAGATCTGCTCAATGTCAGGTCACACTACTTGGAATATGATAATAAAATGCTCAGTATTTTCATTAACTCTTTTGGTGTCTACAAGCATGTGGAGAAATCATATTAGTAACATGGCTGGAGTAGTGGAAAAGCAAGCGTTCACATCACTGCACCCCATCACTCCATGGAGGAAAACATTGGAAGAGGCAGAGGGAAAGGATGTTACTTCATTTCTGGAAACAATCCAAGCCCTGCATCACTAAAATGTTTTGCTCTACTGAAGTTAAAAATTTCTTTTCTACTGGAAAACTGAATTTTTTCTGTGGATGATTTGCCCATGCTGTAATTCCTTTTGGGATAGAAATTCTGAGTTCCATCCAAGTCTGATATCTAGTTTGCTTCATCTTGAAGTTTGAGATTCTGCTTTAAAATTTGCACCTTGTACAGACTGATCCTTGAAACCTATCAGCCAGATGACTGTGTTCTGTACTTGGAGTATGAACACTTGAGTAAAATTTGCTTTGTATTGTTTCTAAATAACCCATAAGCCAATGAATTATAATGAAATGACAGAACCTTCAAGATTATGAACATAAAATGTTACCCTGTGATACAGTAACAGACATTAGTCCAATCATCATTTTTCTACAACTTCTACTTTCTAGCTCTAGCAAATAAGGTCCCCTTCTAGGAGAAAGTAAAATCATGTTACTCTAATTTTGTTCAAAAGATTCTTCAGAGTTTCTTGTGCGAGTTCTAAGCTTTACACTGACAGGAAAATAGGCTAAGGGCAGCCATGCTCTGCTCAGTTGTAAGAGCAGCTTTTGAATGTGCTGCAGTCTCTGGGACAAAGCAAACCCTCACAACCTGCAGCACACCACAAACACAAACGAATCAAAACAACCTCCGTTCTGCCAACAGAAAACAGACTGTTTTGAGGATTAAACAATATCTATCTATACTCCAAAGCAACAGTAAGATGATTTTTTATTTTTTTTTTTAAAGCGATTCTTTTTCACCCTCGGTCCGATCCCGTTTCAAGCCTTGAGAAGCTCTCAGAGCCGCCCACTCTTCACCTTCCCCGGCCCGGTTGTGCTCAGCTTGTCCAGAGCTGCCCTCTGCCGCCTCTTTTCCGAATTACACTCTTAACACAGCAGCGCTTGGACAAGTGTGCGATAATTACTGAGCTGCTCAGCAAAAACGAATTCAGTGACCTGGCTTGGGCTTTGGTAGTCCCAATCCCACACAGCCGCACCACAGTGCTCAGAGGAACGTCCCCTTGCTGTGCTCTGAACACTCCTCGTCCCCAAGGCTCCCCCCCAGCCCCATGGAAACAACTGCTTTCATAAACAAAGCTTAATTCTACGTATCTATCTCAGCATCCTATCGCCGTGCTTTATCTCTGCTAGCTACATGAAGAAGTCTTCTTTCAGCAGCTTCCTTCCCCTTGTGTTGGCACTTATCTAAATTGTGATCATTTTTAGCTCTTCAGTTTCATTCACTTTCACACCTTCCCCTGCATTTCTGACTGTCCTTAGAGGAGGAATTTTTGACCTCAGCACTTCATGTATTCCTCAGAACTCCTCCTTCCCAAGGTTTTAATATCTTCAAAAATGCCATACTTGACAGACAATTTTTTCTCCTTATCCTTGTGGGTTTTTCTCTAATCTGAGTCCGTTGCTGCGCAGAAGGCATGTTCATTAAAATTGTTACTAAATGGCCAGGTTGTACTTTCCATCCTGATTCTCAGGAACGTTGGCCAGAGCTAATTAGTCACAGTCTCTTTCCTATGCTACTCACAATCACAGCAAGTACAAATGAGAGCTCTTTTCCCCCCACTCTCCTGAGATGTTTTTCTTCCTAACCAACCTAGATTAAAACATTTTTGAGCCTTTATCATTCCTCATGTTTGTGAAAGCCATTCTGGCTTTCACACTATTTATCTTGCTTATAGATCATATTAAAATACAACCACTTACTGTGTTTGCAGAGATGAAAGCAAAAAAGGAAACAATCAATAGATGCCCAGGTAGTATTTAAAATATTTTCAGCGAAGTGAACTGAACTCAATATGTTGTCATGACATACTGAGATAGAAATGGGGACCCAAAAGCTCTTTAAGAACTAGATTTCCTTTTGGAACTTTAAAAGAATATGGCAAAGTTCTGAGGTTAGTTTAAAAAGAATACTTTTAAGAAGCTACTAAGGTCAGCAATCATTCAAAAATAATTTCTACATTTAGCTTTACCTTAAGTAAAGGAAGAAACTTCACATAAATGTTCAGAAGCTGGAAAAAAGAACCACTATTTTGCACTGCTTTTTTCTTTTAGCTGTTACAATACCTGTTCATGTGACCACGTCCGTTCTGAGCCATCCTTCACACAAATGTCTAGCCTCAGTTCAGTCCCTGTGGCTCCATGTTTGCTGTCCACACAGAGATTGGCTGCCACATTTCGAATCTGTAAGGTCAAGCATCAACATTTCACATCAAATCAGGCTGCAGAGCAGAGTCATCAAGATTATGGGGTTATGAATTTAGCCGTTGTAGAAACTGAGGGGCTTGAGATTCAGTTGCACAGAACTGGTTTTTACAGGGTATAACACCAGGTCTTGGAGTGATCTCTTCTTTTGAACAGCTTCAGAAGCAGCAGAGTTAGAAATACTCTGCTTAACAAATAAAAGGTAGGCTTGTATGAAATAGCCTCATGCAAAGAAACTAAGAGAAAAAAGGTGTGAAAGGTTCAAAGCTGAGTCTGGCAGTTTTTTCACCTCCTACTGAACCAAGTGAGATAATGGCATTATAAGGACACAATTTCCAAATCAGTCTCTCACAGGCTTCAAAGCAATATTGCTCTGAACACTCTGTCCCAGTGCTTGTTCTTCCTCTAACAGTAATGTCAATGTAGGTAAAGTCACACAGCACTTTTCAAAAGGCATAAAATTAAAGAGTACTTATCATGCCCACCCACAGAGGTTCCTCATGCTGTCTGTGTGCTTCTGCAAACAAACTGCAGTGGGACTTTTTCTTAAAAGGAGGCTGAAACAACTGAGTAATAACCTGTGACTATCACTCACACCATTTATGCACCACGGCTCCTAAGGAGGTATTTCTGGAGAACTGGATTGAAAATGCATAGGCTGCCTTCTACTACTAAAAAGAGAAAAAAGCCATATTTATTTTGAAATATCACATACGTTTCCCCTTGAATACCTTGGCTGAGCTGCTTAAAAATGCTTCAGACACTGCCAAAGCAAAGAGGATTTCTTAAACTTTCCATTTCAACGAGATGCACAGACAGTAAGTAACCAAAGCCTATGCACATTCGTTATTCATTTGGCTGCACTTCAAGTGCAGTGTTCAGTTTTGGGCCTCTCATTACAAGAAAGACAACGTGGCCCTGGAGCACATCCAGAGAAGGGCAACAAAACTGTGAGGGGTCAGGAGCACAAGTCTTACTGGGAACAGCTGAAGGAGCTGGGATTGTTTAGTCTGGAGAAGAGAAGGCTCGGGGAGACCTTACTGCTCCTACAAATCCTTCAAAGGAGGTTGTGGCAAGGTGGAGTCAACTTCTGCTCCCACATAACTAGCGATGGGACAAGAGGGAATGGCCTCAAGTTGTGCTAGGGGATGTTCAGGTTGGATATTCAGAAAAATTTCTTCTCTGGAAGAGTGGTAGGCATTGGATTGGGCTGCCCAGGGATGTGGTGAGGTCATCGCCCCTGGAGGTGTTAAAAAAAAGTTTAGATGTGATACTAAGGAACACGGTTTAGTGGGAAATACTGGTGGTAGGTGGATGGCTGGACTAGATTACCTTGGAGGTCTTCTCCAATCTTAACGATTCTATGATTCATGAAGCTGTATACAGATTCTGGATGTGCAACAGACAGAAGGGAGGTGCACATTTTTGACATTCCTGCAACTACTTTGATCCTTATTTTAAGAAAAGCTAGATGCTGAACAGAGCTGAGGAGCGATTTGCAATTTTCAATGGAAATATTTTTTTTTAAACCAGTCATCATTGCCATATTATATTAGAGAAACGTAAATATTGCTACTCTTAAATATGCCTTACCTCACAGAAAAGATAAACAAAACCAAAACAGGATGGAAGACATCGCATCACAGAAAAGAACACAGAGTACAACAGGGGTAAGCCTTGTGCTTGTAATACACATAGGAGAACTGCTTTGCTCTTTTTTATTATTATTTTGGAGAATTGGAATTTAGTCTATTCATCATGTTCTGAGAAAGATTTAGACAGATGGGAAAACAACAGGAATTGGAGGAAAAAAACAACCACCTTCAGGAAAGGCTTTAGGAACTACATTTGCTTAGCCTAAAAAGGAGCAGATTGAGCAAGCAATGTGAGCAGCAGTTTGAGCTTAAGAATTCTGAGCCTTCACCAGTGCTCACAGGCATATTCTTTCAAAACACTGACAAGCATAGTTCTAGGGCATTCTTTCTTATTTCAGTGCAATAAAATTGCTGCTAACCTGCCAGTACGTACAGACAGATGCAGAAACCCAGCACTGAGCCCCACAGTAGAGTCATGTTAACTGAAAAAAGGATGAAAGATAATAAGTCCTCAGTAACTCTCCTTCATCTTCATATCATCCATCAGAAGATGGAGATAAGAACAATCAGTGGAAAAGACCGATTTTTTTTTAACTTATTTTTTCTTAAGTGAAAAAATTTCTCCAAGGATTATTTGGACTCATTTCTGATCTCTAAAATCAAAGATCTCTAAAATGAAAGAAAATACACCCCACATCTAATGAGTGCTCATTGTATTAAAGGGCTGACATAATTTTGCCTAGATGACATTTCTTCATCCTGTTCTCATTCATTTGGATGTTGTGGTAAATGTATTCTAAGCATTTCTGGAAGGCTTTGAGCCAAAGCTACATTTAGGATATTCACTACTGGAATCCACTGCTTTTTTATTTCCTCTGTTCTTCCCTCTGCTCCTGAAAGGTTTTCTCAAGTTAGTTTTCATTCTGGTTTGTTGCAGCCCACATGTTAATTCATCTTTTTGTTTTGTTTTATCCACCTTTTCAGCTGCAGAAGGGCAGTGGCTTGTTTCTCATTTTCTTTTTGTATTACAGGCATTTCAATAAAGTCTGTGCTTTTGTTCTCTGGCATTCCTGTGTGGCGTTGGCAGAAACTAGAAACTGAATTGTGCCATCAAACTGCTGCCAGAACCATGGGGAATGTTCTGCTGAACACCAACATTACGTTACCTACAAATCCCCTAAGATCCCTTCACAGAACAAGGAAGGAGAGCAGGATTGCAGCAAAGAGATGCTGTATTTTCACATTTACATCAGTATGCATTTGAACTGCTTTGTCTCCAGTCACACCGCACAACAGATGTCAAATGTTTACATCACAGCTAGAAACATAGCTAGCACTCCTAATAGACTCCCATTTCCAACATTTGTAGCTGGGCAATTGTGGAGACATTTCATCTCTCATGTAGTTCTTAAAATTATCTGAACACACACACTGGGATGATGCTACTAAGAAAAGATTGTAGGCCCTATCTTCTTATAGAGAGCAATTCATGTGTTCAAGCACAGATTCTAAAGGGCTCGTAGTCTCTCTATTCTATAGGGAAGGAGTAAGGCCAAAGGTATAGAGAGTTTTTCAGTGCTGCATCTACGTTTGGGAAATAAAGACTTACCAAGTGAGAGACATTTCTGCTGTTGTAACATCCAATTTCTGCTTTTTAAATGAGGTAGCAAGCCGTTAGGAGAAAGGACTGCTTGAGTGTAGGTACAGTCCTTGGGGGTTATGAAAGTGAGTTAGACATTAAAACTACAGTTTCTTTTCTCAACGTATTAAAAAAAAAAAAAAAAAAAAGATGTTCATAAAGAGTAGTCAAAGCCTGGAAAAAGCTCAACTACACTATAAAAGTAGAAAGGGGAATACATTAAACAGGAGCTGGGGCATTATAGGACAAAAGCTCTTTGAACCTAGGCTTTATGTTTGAAGAAGATATTTAAAGTTGTTGATTTGATAAATATTTCTACATTAACTTTTAGGAAAAAGAACAAAGGACTGACATACAAAAATATTTTTGGCAGATGTTGTCAGTAGGGTCATTCACACTTGATTATTAGTTCCTGTTAAAGTATTTCATTTTAAACTCAGGGTTTGCTTGCTTTCTTAAAGTATTGGTGTTTTTCAGAGATGCACAGAGAAACTTCTCTATATTTACATACAGCAGAATATACTGTCTCCTAGATAATGTGACTGAGACAATTGTTTTTTTCAGAGTGCCTGGTATGACACTATGCTTTTGTTCTAGGAGAAAAAAAACATTGATAGCACACCATGTTTATACTTATTGCTAAGCAGTGTTGTTCAGAAAAAAGGCTGTTCCAGTTTCTCAACCTGTATTAATGAAGGGCTGGGAGGAGTATCAGGAAAAGTAACAGCAAACAACCAGTTCTAAATAACCCAAAAAAGGGTGATAGTTAAAGAAAGATTTGCTTACCCATCCCAAAGAACAGGGCTTGCTGAATACTCCAAAATGAGAGATATCCAGATAGAGAACCTTCCCTTGTGACAGCCAGCCCTTAAATGAAGCCTAGAGAGGGGTGGAACCTGGTGAAATGCTTTCACCTGTGCTCCCAGGGCTGGTTCTGTCCCTTCACTAGGTGCTCAATGATTGGCTCAGACTGTGACTTAGTAATTCCCATACAAAGGGACAGAATCAGGACAGATGATTTAAACTGGCCAAAGGGATATCCCATGCTATGTGACATCAAGCAGAAAGAGAGTTTTGAAGGGGGTGGGAGTTCATCTCACTCTCTTCCACTGCTTGAGACAGGAGCAGGGCATTGACAGGGGAGTAGTGAGCAATTCATAAAATCATAGAATGGTTTGGGTTGTAAGGGACCCTTAAGATCATCTAGTTCCAACTCCTCTGATGTATGCAGGAACAGTTCCCTCTAGACCAGGTTGCTCAAAGCCCCATCCAGCCTGGCCTTGAGTGCTTCCAGGGAGGGGGCAACCAGTATCTCTCTGGGCATCCTGTTACAGTGCATCACTGCCCCCACAGTAAAGAATTTCTTTCCTATACTTAATGTAAATCTATCCTCTTCCAGTTTAAATCCATTTCTATTCATTCATTGCTACATGACCTTATAAAAAGTCTCTTCCCAGCCTTCCTGTAGGCCCCCTTCAGGTACTGGAAATCTACTATAATATCCCCCTGAAGCCTTCTCTTCTCCAGGCTGAAGAGCTCCAACTCTCAGCCTTGCGCCCTCCTTGTAGGGGAGGTGCTCCAACCCTCTCATCATCCTCATGGCTCTTCTCTGGATCTGCTCCAACAGCTCCACGTCTCTCTTGTGTCATGGGCTTGAGAACTGGACTCTAGCTGGGGTCTCACAAGAGCAGACTTGAAATGCAGGATCACCTTCCTCAACCATCACGCATTTCTTGATGCAACCCAAGATACAGTTGGCCTTCTGACTGCAAGATCATATTGCTCATGCTGAGATTTTCATAACTGATGCCCTCAAATCCTTTTCCTCAGAGCTGCTCTCAAGACATTCTCTGCACAGCCTGTGTTTGTGCTTAGGATGGGCTGGGCCCACCTCTCAAGCCTGTCCAGGTCCCTCTGGATAGCATATCTTCCCTCTTGCGAGACAAATGCACTACTCAGCTTGGTGTTGTCTGCAAACTTGTGAGGTTACACTCAATCACACTGTCCATGTTGCCTATAAAGATGTTGGACAGAACTGGTCTCAGCACTGATCCCCAAGGAATGCCACTCATCACCAGTCTCTACTTGAACAAAGAGCCATTGACTGCAACTCTGAGTGTGACAATCCAGCCAATCCCTTATTCAGTGAGTGGTCCATCCATCAAATCAATTTTTCTCCAATTTGGTGATCAGGATATCATATGGGATGACTTAAAAAAAAAAAAAAAGTCCAGGTAGGTGATGTCAGTTGCACTTCCTTTATCTACTGATGCTGTAACTCCATCATAAAAGGTCACCAAGTTTGTTAGGCATAATTTGCCCCCGGTGAAGTTATGTTGGTAACCACTAATCACCCCAGTTTGATTTTTCATGTGCTTTAGTAATGCCTTCAGAAAGATCTGCTGCACGATCTTGCCAGGCACAGCAGTGAGACTGACCTGTCTCACTGTCCCTGGATCATCTTCTTTTCCCTTCTTGAAAAATGGGGATTATGTTTCTGCTTTTCCAGTCAGTGGGAACTTCACTAGATTGCCATGACCTTACAAATATGGTGGATAGCAGCTTGGCAACTTCATTCACCAGTTTCCTCAGAACATGTGGAAGAATCTTGCTGGGTCCCATGGACTTGTGCACCTTCAGGTTCTTTAGACGGTCTTGAACCTGATCTTCACTTACAGCAGGCACATCTTCCTTCTCCCAGTTCTTACCTTAGCATTTGGTAGCTTGGGTGGTGTGGCTAGAGCCCTTACCAGTGAAGACCAAGGCAAAGAAATCATTGAGCACCTCATCTTTCTCCATATCCATTGTGAACAGGCCTCCATTCTCCTTCTGGAGGGAGCCCACATCTTCCCTGGCCTTCTTTTTATTGCTGCTATATCTGTATAATTTCTTCTCATTCTCCTTTACGTCTGGTTAGATTTTATCCAGCCTCTTTGTAGACCTCCCAGGTAACTCATTCTTGCTTTCACTCCTATAGACTTGCATTTTGCACTTCATGCATAACTTGCTATATACATTCATATATAAATATACATTGTCCTGTTATCCTTTTCCTTTTTTATATCTTAATAAATTGTTTTACCTCAGCCCATGAGTTCTATATTTTTTTCCTCTTGATTCTCTCCTCCATTTCACTGGGAGTGGGGGGGGAGCAAGCAAGTGATTGCGTGTCAAATGACTGCATGCACGCTGAATCACCAGCCAGATTAAACCATAACATTTGACCTACACTAAATTGACGTTAGAGTTTTGCAGAAAGTCAGGAGTTACGTGATTTCATCTACTCTCCAGGAGAGAGGCAGATTAAGATGGTCTGACTTCTTACACTGAAGAATGTAATAGTTCCTGCAAGGGTTGCCCTTGAGAGTATGGGTGATGCTCTGCCTGCCTTACAGCCCCACTGTAAGCCTAGGTCACCTCAGCCTTGAGGAAGGCAGGGGTTGAGTCACTCCCAGTAGCATGAGGGTCAACTGTGTGTTCGATGTGCCCTAACTAGACACACCAAAACCAAAAATGGTGAAGCAGAGCAATCTAAAATTGTCTTAAAGTAATGAAGGAGGAGATGAAACTGCAGCTATCCTCACAGTGCCCAGTACAATGCAACAACATGAGAGGAACCTTGATGTTATCAGCTCATATAAACACTTTTCTTATATCTGACTCAATGCTGAAAATCAAAAAGTATCTGCAGCTCTTGGAAGACATTAACAACATCCATTTAAGTTGCTTTATTTGTCTGAGCAGCACTTAAAGATGATTTTAGTACATGCTTACATTCTCAGATAACCCTAGGGCCATCAATGTTTACAGATCAAATGAGGAGAAATGAGCCACCTTTCCTGCCAACAGATACATGGCAATTTTAAATGGATTTATCATTTGTGAGAGCCATAAAAAGGAAAAGCTGAAGTTGAAAGAAGTCACGCACTGCTAAAGATGTCCCTGAAGAAAGTGGGACTCGCTGTGCTGCATGACAGTGATCTTGACAGAAGAACTGTGAGAAACACAGCTGTGTGGCACTTGTTCTGTGTGTGATGGGGGAATAACTGGTACAATGCCCATGTGACACTTGGTGGACTGGTACTGACTCATTAAGGCTATGAAAGTGAGACTTTAAAACCAAAAATAAGAGATTAGTGCATTCTTACGTTTTAAACCCTTTTCAAATATACTATTTGATTTAACTTCATGCATGACATTTTCAAGCCACGGCGGTAAAACAATTCCATAAAATACATGAGGTCTGGACTGAAAAATGAGTATTTTCAGGTCCTATAGCTCAGAACTGCTGCAGTGACTGAGTGACTTGCTTTGTATTAAATCATCAAATAAGAGGTTTATGCAACAACAAATGAAACCAAGCTTAAATATTTCCCTTTCAACTCAGTAAAACAAATCAATCTTTTCATATCACCCTGATAATAGGATTAGTAAAGTCTAAAACAAATTACAATGGCTGACAGTATATGATTGATTTACTGTAAAATAGGTTTCCAAAGATACTGTTGGAAGCTGTGCAACACACTTGCAGTGGCTTGTAGATTTAGGAGTACTTCCTAAGAAAACATTTAATGTACAAATCTCATCTAATGCAGCTATTGTTCTTAACTTCCTTCAGAAGGATTTCCAATACACATTACAAATAAATTATTGTATCTTTGAAAGAGAATGGAATGGTTATTACTGTTTTTCAGCTGGTAGCACACTTTCCAACATATTTTTAAGAAACAAAATCTAATTTAAAATTTGCCTTTTTTTCCCCCATGGTGGGAGAGAAAACAGTACAGTAATCTTACCCAAAGAATTGATGATCACTAACCTTAATCTGTCTGGATTCATCATTGCATTGCCATGCTGCACATATTTCAGATGTTAGAAGGCAGAGCAAAATATAAAATGAAAGATACACCCTACCAACTACAAAGGACAAAAGGCACAAACAAGAACAAGAGATAAGGTTGTGTTGAGGATAGTGGAGACAACTAGTTCTGTTTCTCAGATTTACTTCGTCTCTATTGTGAATAGATTTTGAGAGATTTAGGTATCAGATTTTAAGAGAGTTTGCAGAAAGAGAGGAGTTACGCATAGGTTGTTTACCAGATGTCTGATTTTACACCACATAGCTTCTATCTGTGCATCAAAATACTAGAGCACAAGAATGCCTGAGACCTCTTGTTTATTCTTCCTCAGACTGATATAAAGTCTTCCCAAGTGCAAGCAGAGAGAATATTAAATGGCAGTCAGCCTTGGCATAGACTTCTAGTGTGTTTAGTCAGCAAGGTTTCTAGAATTGCTTGATTCTTACAAAACAGTAACACACGTCTGTGTTCCTCTGTCTGTTTCTGGTTATGGTAGCCATTGACCTCCAAGTTTAAGTTCTTACCAAGAGTCAACAGATTAATTAAAGCTTCACAGGAATGCGATAGTCCCAGGGAAAAATAGAGTGGTAGGACTGGAACTTCTCTTTTACGTCAGAGAGAAACTATATTTGAGAGGAAACAAAGCCTTCAGTCTTCGTTTCCTTACTAAGAACTCAGTAAGTACTTTTAAGGTACAGATTAGTTACCACTGCTATGATGTACAATTTACTATCATGAACTCATGCTTTTATGCAAGGAATGCATCAGTAATGATGTGAGCAGAATTAATATCTGAATCCCAATTTCTTCTACTTAGATCCTGTCACTGAGAGAAGAACTGTTTGGCTGTCTATAGAAGTTATAGATCTCATGATCACAGTCCTTGAAGAATGCACATGTATGCATGTGGAAGACCATGAAAGCGGACATGGAAGGAATGACAACTCTGATCAAGTCTGGCTTCTACTGAGTATCTCCAGTAAATTGAGAAAGAACTCAGCACAGATATTCTCACCCTGTTTAAACAGTAGCAAAATACAGGAGGAAGCTTCCCTTTCCTCTCCTTTCCCTTCCCTTTTCCCCAAAAGATGCATTCCATTTGCCTGCTTGTGGAATCTACAAAAAGCTGACCACAAGTTCAGCAAAATTCGTCTTTTTAAGAGAACTGCAGCAAGGCTCCACTTTCCATATTCACATATATGATCAAAACAGACCAAACATAACTGCATCTGCACAGTGATCCTGGTGAACTGTAAGCCTAGGAGGAGGCATATGAGCAGATTTGCAAAAATACAGTATTGACTTCAGACCTCCTTTTTGCTAATGAGACTCTAAAGTTGTGATATGCAATAACGAGTGCTACATATTCTTTTCCATGTTCTTGTTCTCAATGGGCATGTATCTTATGGCCTGTACACACTAAATTGTAATGAATTATAGAATGGACAGCAACAGTCCTAAGACATAACAGTTTCTTGTTTTAATGGCTAATTTCAGGATGAACTCCTTAATAACACTAGTTATCTAAGGTGCTAAATATAATTTCATACTTTTAATTTCCTGTGATGTAAAATGTCAGGCTCATTTAAATTTCTTCTGATTTGTATTCCTCACCTCCCCCCAGGCAGCAGGTGGAGGCTCCACAGGTGGGTAATATTTGGGGACATCCCAAGCCACTGCAGCCATGAACCACTTGAAATCTTTACATTTCAGGTGCTTGCGAAGTTCCTTCTGGGCAGAGATGTCACCAGTTGAGAGATGTCTGTACTCAGGCCGTCGCTGGTAGATGTACTCTGCAAACTCATCCATCCATGTCTCTGCCACACGCTTCAGGTTCTGTGCAGCAGAAAAAACACAAATACTGATTTTTTTCATGCACTGACTGAAATTACATCCCTGATGGGGATAATTAAACAAACAAAAATTAATAGCCTATATATCTTGTAAGCTTAACAAGTCTAGTTTTTCATTCTTAACATATAGAAGAATACCAGTAAAGATATGCTACCTTCATTAAAGTGCAGAGTAGCCACTACATAATATTAAATATCCTGTTTTCCTGCTGACTTGGTAAAATAAAGTCTTTTCTCTAATGAACATATTTTACTCCCTGTTCTTTATGCATCTTCACACAGGCTTTGATTAATGCTAGATGTTAAACAGATTTTCTTTCAGCTGCTCAGATTTGCATTTGTGCCTTTTCCTGTTAGCTTGCAATGTACTAATGAATTAATAGTTCAAACTATTTCTTCTGTATCTCACTTCACATCTGAAAGGCATCTAAACCTTAGCCATCAAATGGCTTCTTTGCCTTGTTTTCACATTTCCCCTGTCTTGGTTAACTTCTCTTCACCAAGCTGCATGCCCTGTTGCCTCCTCAATTCTCTTTAGGGAGATTTTAGAAAATTCCCCTAGAGTGGAGGTTTAGTTGCCCTGCTCCCTTTCCCAAAATTACATCTCAATTCGTGCCCACATTTTGGGTATGAATTACATGCTTATGCCTGCGGACAAGCAGTCACAACCTTATTGTGCTCCACCTCCTTTTTGGTTTGGAGCTTTGGACCGGAAGCTTTCCTGTACTACTATACCAGTAGATCTGCAAAAGCATAGCCCATAATTCTGGAGAGGAGTTGAGGCAAAGCAACTTAAGGGACAAGCATCCTGGGCTTTCTGCATTCATCCTGTAGACATAATCAAGGGCCATTTTTAAATTAATCCCAGTTCTGGCTTATGTCCCAATAAGTTTATTTTTGTTGACACTTTACAGGAAAGAAAACTACCAGTTTTCTTGTGTAAGAATTTGGCCGAAGTAATTAAATTAGCTTGCTGAAATTATAAAACAGAAAAGACTTGCAAGAAAAACTCCCAGGCAGGTAGGACTGAAAGAAGTTTTATTTTGTTTAGCATCATGGAGTCTAAGTAGCTGTGGGATAAGGGTGGGAATTTTCTCTATTTCTGTATGTTATTTTTCTACATGAATTTATATGCAGATGTTGAAGTGGAATACAGATTTAGTCTATTCTGTATTTCCACAGCAGCCCAATAACCTCTTATCTCACTAATAAAGCAACATCTTGCAGGATGACACTGACATGCTGAAGTATTCTTATTGCTTTGTTTGTAAAAACAAGATAATAAAATTTTGTAATATTCTTTTTATAGAACAGTAACTGCAAAATGCTGAGATTTGCTCTGTAATAAGCTGGAGGACAATATGCATCTGATTATCAGCAACATAAGGTAAAGCTTCCTCTCAGAACATCCTTTGCATATAAGTTAGCCTGATTCTTACTCTGACTTGCTCTTGAGATTAGTTTGAAAGATCCTTTCTTGAATTTTATTAACCTGCACAAACTAGAAGTCTTTGAACTAATAAGACTGATCTGAATATAAAGACAGCAAGATACAGAATGAACTTTTAGCTGAAATTGCAAGATAAGTTCCTAGGTGTTTTGTCTCTGTGAAGAAAATACATTAAAACCTGCAGGGGTAAAGCCAGCACAATTAAAGAAGTTTAAGAAATCACATCACTTCTATCCTTACACAGAAATGACTTATACCTCACATAAGATTGCATTTTATTGTAATTGAATAAAAACCTACATTTCTTTACAAGATATTTGAATTCAAGAACATGTGAACTGGGTTGGACGAAGAAAGCCAGAATAAACTTAACAACACATAAAAAACCCACGGGTTTTATAGAAGACTGCAGGAATTTTCTCCTGTTATTTGGACAATCTCAAAGAACTGCATTCTTCCCTAGATGATTGTAACTGAATGAGAAAGGAGTCAACAGACATGCTGCGTATTATTATACTTGCTTATTAGCTCAAAATTCCCATTCATCCATTAAAATCTCTTTGTTTTCCAACAAATCCTTCCTTCCTCTTTCTCCCTTCCTTTCTTTCCTGTGATGGTGGGAACTTATCAAACTTGAGGAAAATACAGTTCTGCACACCACTCCCCAAGTATCAGGGAAGCTACTTTACCCATATATCATAGAATATCCTGAGTTAGAAGGAACCAACAGGGGTTCCTACTACCTAAGCTTCAAATCCAAAATTGAAAGTGATATCCAAACGCGCCTTAAACTCTGGCAGCTCAATGCCATGCCCACTGCTCCATGGTGCAGAACCTTTCCATAATCCTCAGCCCAACATTTCCCTGACACAGCTCCATGCCATTCACTCAGGCCCTGGTGCTGCCACCAGAGAGCAGAGCTCAGTACAACTCCTCTGCATCCCTTGTAAAGAAGGCATAGGCTGCCATGAGACCTCCCCTCCATCTCCTTTTCTCTAGGCTGAAAAAAACCAAGGGGTCTCAGCAGCTCCGCACATGCTTTGACCTCCAGACCCTTCACTATCGTTGTAGCTATCTTTTGGATGCTAACAGTTTCATGTTCTTCTCACACACCGGTGCCAAAACCTGCACAAAGTGTTGGAGGTGAGGCTACACCAGTACAAAGCAGAGTGGGACAATCCTTTCTCTCATCTGGCTAGCAGTGGTGGATCTGGTGCACCCCAGGGTGCAGTGGGCTCCTTTGGCTTCCAAGGCACAGCGTTGACTCAAATTCAACTTGTCTTTAACCAGAACCCCTAGATCCCTTTCTGTGGGGGCTGATCTCCCACCTTCTGTCACCTAGTCTGTACAGCTCCATCCCAGATGCAGAATTCAGTGTTTGCTCTAATACGTCAAGATCTCTCCATAAGACCTCTCTACCTTTGAGGGAGCCAACAAATAGCTGCCTCTATTTCAGTGTTTGTAAGACCAGTATGCATACTGTATAATAAATATTATAAAGCATTGGATGATCAATAAGCATACAGAAAAGTTAGGTTTAATAAGATTATCATGTTAGAAAGATAATAAAAAATAAATGGAAAGCGCTCACCAGTTTTGTAGGCTTACAATAAACCCCACAAGGAGCGACCTCCAGAAAGAGAGACCCATCCTTAGTGGCAGTCAGTCCTTAAATGGGGGTCTAGTAAAGGTGGAGCCAGGCTCCACCACTTCTGATCACACAGGTGAATTGCCTTCACCTGTGCTCTCACAGCTGACTCAGTGCTCAATCCAGGTGGTCAATCAGAGGTTCAGGCCATGATCCAGCAGTTCTCCTACAGTGTTATTCACAACCGCACTTTGTGTGCTTTCACGTACACCTTTGAGTCTTGCAGCCACCTCACTGATTAAAACGTTGAAGAAAACTGGCCCTAAAATGGAGCTCTACACCATTCCACACCAATGACTAGCAACCAGCCTGATGTACCTCCATCTACTATAATCAATCCTTTAAGTCTGACCCATTAGCCAATTGTTCACCCACTGCAATCTTCATTTGTCTAGCTGTATGCTGGACATTTTATGCAGAAGGATATTGTGAGAAAGAGTGCCAAAAGCTTTGCTGAAATTCAAAAATATTATATCAACCGCTTCCTTTGGTCATTTTGGTGGGTAACCTTGTCATAAAAGGAAAAAAAGTTCATAAACAGGCAACCCATGTTGCCTGATTAATGACTGTATTGTGCTTTTCAGTAACTCCCAGAGTAATCTTCTCCATGATTTTACCAACCACTGAAGTGAGACTGACAGGATCTAAATCTATTTAAAACTGTGTTCCTTAGTTCTTCCAAAATCTATGCTTCTCTTCTATGCTAAAAATTTTCCACACCTTGGCAGATTCTATAAGGAAACTATATGTTCTTAGCATGTTTATACATTACAATCATTAGCTGAACCTATATGAGGCAGCCCTTTGAATTTCAGTAAGTATCCTTTTAAAAATATAAACTCCTTATTTGCTAGCTCTAAACCTCCGGACTATTTAGGAACATGATTGTAAGCAGCCCTCCCCCTGAAGTAGTGGAAAGCTCTTTCTGAAGTTGGTTGTTACAAGAAGAAAGCATTCTGTATCCAAACACTTTAAAGAGGTTTGCTGTGTTCAGTTAACAAGAGATTCTGATCTTTATTTTCACTACAGAAACTCAGTAATCACAACATTTCACTTTAACATAAACACGTACAGACCAGTAACAGAATCATCAAATAACAGTTAACCCCCATATTTAGATTGAATGAAGTCAGGTAGATCAAATTCTGTAAGCTAGCCCAGAGTAGCCTTACACAATCAAAGGCGAACATCATTCACATTTCTACTTACACTATAATAACTTATCGTGTCCTTGGAGATGAATGAGCTCTGCGGAGTTGAATATTGCAGTTCTGTGGCTGTCTAATATTGTGAGAAGTTGCCCTATGAGAAAAACCTCCTACGAACACAACTTCTCCACACACATTTCAATGAGATTCTAGTTTCCTACTGACTTTACCAACAGAAAGGCTTACTTGTCAAGTGACATACTTGCAAGGAAGTGATTTCAAGTCCTTTATAAGTCTCTTCGAGAACTGATTTTCCCACTATCTGTGACAGACATTGTGGAGGAAGGAAGACTGTGTCATGTCCTCCTTGCCTGAGCCTTGAAATGAGGCTAGATACATTCTGGAGCATGTGCCCTTATTAAACTCCATAAATGAGAGGGAACAGATCTTGACAGAACATGAATTAAAGCAGATGCCAAGCCATTTGACACTAGGAGAACTTCATAATGTATAAGACTTAAAAGCCTACGAGATCAGGTGGCATTTTGTAGATGCCTTACAGCACTCCAGTCTCATAGTAAGGTTAATCTACAAAGAAATTAAAATAAACAAAAGTTGGCTTGAATCTCTCCATTTCTAACTTTGATAATATTTGCATAACCTTCTACAGAAAAGAAGTCTTTTAAATGCCAGATTCTAAAATGCCTTTTCAATTATTTTTATCAGTAAGAATAATC